GCATTTATGTATTTTTTTTATTTAGTACTATAATCGATAAGAATACATCACGAGATGAACTAAAAATCAATCACAACATAGAAAATATAATTTTTTTTTAATTTAATAATTTTATTTAATCAACTGCCAGGCTTGAGTTCGAATCCCAAGCTGGGTCTTAGAAACCAGCTTGGTTGAGATTTTACCTTCCCGCGTAGGTTAAGATTTTTTCAAACCACAAAGATCCCAACGTACCACTCCCAACACTTAAAGTCGGCGATATGACTAATTAACGAAAAATAAAAAAAATTATGAGCGACCTTTCAAAATTTTTATTTGGAACTGAAACTTTTAGAAACTTATTTTTTTTTTGTCTATAAAATTATACGGTAACGAAAAAAAAAATTAAAAAAAAAAAATTCAATTTTTGACGATTTTTGAAATTTTGAAAAATTTGGAGTGACCTCTTAAAAAATTTATTTTGAGCTGTCCTATGGTGAGGGCTCTTAAAACATCAAAAACTAACATTTTTTCACTCGAGACTAAAAAAAAAAAATTAGTTGGTTTTTTTGCTCCATCAGAACTGATTATATATAAGTCTATTTGTAATTGGATATGATCATACCTGGCTATATATACATACATAAATTTTTTAACCAATGGTATTTTTGGAACTTTCTTGACTAATTATGACATATGATAGCAAAATCAGGTGAAAATTCCAGCATGAAGACTAATGCAATAAATATAGATTGCTAACGAAATCTCTAAAATATTAAGGTATCTTAATCCATGTGAAAAATTCCGTACATTCCGTTTTCCATATCTGCTACTGTTTGTAGGAAGACTATGATACTGATCATACTGACCAGCAGTAAGAGAATTTAAAGTTTTAATACAGGCTATAAGGGAACTATGTATTTCAACCGTACTGATGACTAAGTTAAAAATGAAATACCTTTCATTTACCAACATGTATTTATTGTATTCAAAAATTTATTAAGAGTAGAAAAATAAAAATTTCTACATACTAGAAAAAAAAATTAGTTTAAATAAAACATAATTTTATGAAATATAAAATTTATAAGAAAGTATTTCTAGTAACTTATGGAAAAAATTGAACCGTTTTATTAATTGTGATGCCAATGACTAATTGATTTTATATCATAAGTACCTAATAGATGCAAAAGAAACTCTTAAAATTGATTTAATTCGATACTATTCTACAGTAGGTTTAAATTTTAATTTCAAAAATATAACTATGGTTTTAAATTTTTCTATTACCATCATTAGTTTTTAAATAATAATAACTAGCCACCTGCAGTGATTATACGACTGTCAATAATTAAAAATTATGATTAAAAAACTTTGGCTCAATAATTTTTTGATATTTTTAATCATAATGTAGATAATTTGTGAAATTGTTAAAATAATAGCGCTGTGATATGATCAATGACCAATAATTTAATAAAAGACAAGGTGAAACTAACTTACAGAATCAAAAAACCCATAAAAACTGCTCCAAAAACATAACATAAAAAATAGACCTTCACCAAAAAAAATATAAAACAACGAAAAGTTAAAAATTTATGTCAATACCGTTTTGATAGTACCAAATTTAACTGCAGAATCCTACATTTTATAATGAAAATATTCCCGTCACATAATTTTCTTTACTTCTAGTAATAATGTAGATAATAATAAGCAATAAACAGGCCAGCAAAAATTAGAAACTACTAATACCAAAAATTTTTGAAATGAAGATTCGCTAAGTGTAATCTAGTAGCATTAATTCGTTCTAAGACGTTGAAGCAATGTTTTTTCCATATACTATTATGAATACCCGGGAAAATCAGCATGTATGATCGTGCTTGACTAAGCATGAATTAGTCATGATCATGCATGAACTGTGTGTGATCGTGCATGAATCATGCATGATAATACATGAATCGTGTATTATCATGCACGACTGTGCTAGGTAATACTCAATCGTGTACTTTTAAGCATGCGTTATTTCGCACGACCTGTCATGACTATACATGATTATACACAACCGTACTCGACCGTGCTTGACTGTGTACTGTGAGGACTAAAAGGTCATGCATGAGTCTGCATGACGGAGTATGGCCTTGTATGGCCATACAAGGAACTTGCTTGATCATGCATGATTCATGCTTGGTAGAGCTTGATCATGCATAAAGTCGTTTAACACAGTGGGAACTATCATGTACGACTGTATATGCCCTTGAATAGTCATACATCATTCATGCTTGACCAAGCATGACCATTTGTAATTGAACAGAATAAGTGATCATGAACCTACTTGACTGTGTGTAGCTTTATACGATCATTCATGATCGGGCTTGGCCAAGCGTGGTTATGCACGATAACTCTCTCCGTGACCAAAATCAATAACGGATACGATACTATTAGGAATTCGATTTGATAATGAAGGTTTGAAAATTTCGATAAAAATATTATTATGTTATAATTTTTTATACACTAACTCAAATTTCAAGTCTCTTTTCCTTCAAGTATAAGTACTAAAAAATCCTAACGGTATTGATGACCCCGTGAAAACTCGGATGAAATACGGAGTTTCTACAAAGTATACTCCGTCATAGAGTTTTCTCGGGATACCGACGGAGTTTAGGCGGTGTTTTAGCGGAGGGAACGTGGAGTATTGTGTGCAGTTACGACACGAGATTTTAACGGTGTTCTGTCGGGATTTTCTCGGAGTATTGAGAGTGTTTTAATGGAGTATTCACGGAATATTGTCGGTGTTTTCGCGGAGTATTTGTTGAGAATTCATGAAGTATTGATGGAGTTTTCACGGAGTATTCGCGGAGTATTGTTAGTGTTTTCGTGGAGTATGCACGGACTATCACCAGTGTTCTAGTTGAGTATTCGTGGAATTTTTTTGGTGTTATCGCAGGATTTCATTGGAGTTTTGTCGGTATTTTCGGGACGTGTTTCTGATGAAATTTCATTCAAGTATTCGCGGAGTATACACGGAGAATTACCAGTATTCTAGCGGAGTTTTCATATATTATTCTCGGAGAGTTTTTATAGAAAAAATGACTAATTTATTTTAATTCTTACCCGACTAGAAATTTTAATGTAAGACCTATTGGGCCCGCGTTGGGTTTCCTAATAGGGACCGCACATGGGAATGTCACGCAAAATCCTATGCGGCCCTCATGGGGCAATTCCTTTTAGGTCCCAATGGGGAAATCCCCATCAGAACCCAATCTAAATTTTGAAAGAAAAAATATTATGATTTTCGAAAAGATTAAAAATAATTTAGGATCAGATACTCATATTATATTAGACCTCATTAGTAAATTTAATTTGAATTGAAATGAAATCGTTGATCGAAAAAATCCTTGTCGTGAGTTGGGCTCGAACTTGCGTCCTTAGGGTCCTCAGTCCTTGACGTTACCGCCGGTCCAAGCAGAAGTGCGGATGAGGAAAGTTCCTATCTCGTATACATGCACTTTACCGGTTGACTGAGACATTATTCATGTTATGCTCAAGCTTTAAGAAATTGTTTTTTTTTTTATTTATCCACTTTACTGACGTGAAAATACAATTTTTGTATAAATTAAATAAAAAATTGAAAAATAAAAAAAAAAAAATTTACCGAAAAATGTAAAAAAATTGAAAAAATAATATTCCTTAAAACTGTCCGATTTATTTTGGAATCCCCCTTATACGAACACAAAAAATTTTTTTTTGAAAATTAAAATTTTTTTAAAATCCAAGTTATTTTTTAAAATTTTATTGTATGGATAAAAATTTAATTATAAAAAAGTTTAATTTTTTTTACAATATAAATTCTTTTGCAAATGTGAATCCTCAAAAGTTGGATATTTTTCAAAAATTGAATTTTTACCTACTGATAATAAAAATTATCTTCTATTAAAATTTTTTTTTATACTGAGAAGAAAAAATTTTGAGTATGAATCTTGTTTCAGCAACATCAAAATGTATTTCAGTCTAAAAACTCACACAGAAAGAAAAATTTCTTTACTGGAGAACAAAATTCTTGGCTCAAGAAAATTTTCGGATGCCTGAAGGAAGACCGAAGTTGTGTTGGCCGAAATAAAAATTTTTCTTGAAAT